GGAGCAACCTGGGCCAGTGGAAGGTGGAACCAGACGGTGTTTAAGGTCCCTTCCAACCCAAACCATTCCCCCATTCCAACAATATGCACTCCTACACAACTTTGCCAAATGTTTAGGATGGCTTTTCCTTCTCTATAAGGAAGAAAATTCTTGTACCCTATTTATTCTCATACCATCTCTCAGTTTCCACCTTCTGTTCCAGCAGCTTAGGTTCCCATTTGTGTCATCTGCATGTGCAGAAGCACAACTGTGATCAAACACCAGACCTTTAGAATGCTTATTTTACTTGAGGTCAGGGAAATTAACCCAGTTAAATTTCAAATACAGGGGAGAGCCAAAAAAACCCAACCAACCCTGAACAAGAAATGGCACAGTGATTCATCACAAAGATGCAGAACAATTAACAGCAGGAGAAAAAAATCCAGGCTGGATAATCCAGTGTGTTGTCAATGCCAAGGGATTAAGGCACAGGAGCAAAGCCCATCCTTTAGGAAGTATGTAAGGACACAATTACCTCCTCACTGTGTTTTAAAAAAGCAAATACCATTTAACCAGCAGATACCTGTCTCAACATTCATCTTTAACACATTTACAGAGGTAACAGCGGATCATATGGAAAAACCTTCATTAAATTTATTTATTTCCTCCTTTTAGCTGTCAAATTCCTGTAAGTTTTGTGCAGACTAAATCAAAACAGCTGCAGTTTGCCTCATAAAAATAGAAAATTTCACGTTTTCTTTTCACACTCATCTTTAGCCTCCAAGTCCTCACATGGACACCAAACCTATTCACTCTGCTACTATTTTGACCTCTTTAAAGCCAGTCTTCACTGAGAAAAGCATTTCATAATGGGCAGCACCCTGAAGATAAGGACACACTTACTGACATTTAATATTTGAGTGCTGTCACCACCCCTAGAAGTGTTCAAAAAACAAGCAGTTGTGGCACTTTGAGGTATGGTTTAGTGGGAATGGGGGTTGGACTTGGATGATCTTGGAAGTCTTTTCCAACCTTAAAGACAATTATCATCAGCTTCAAATTGCAGTGATGGGCACAGTGATGGGTTGTGAGATGATGATTGCTGCCTGCACACCAACCTTGCTGTGTTTGCACAGCTCAGGGTGTTCACAGCCTGAGTCATTTATGCTTCCCAAAGCACTAACACTCAATAACTCACCCCCACCAAGGTACTTGTGCCCTCTGCACATGCAAGATGAATAAATCAAGTAACAAAATGTATAGGTGGTTCTTGTCCTTTTTTCAGGAGAGGCCAAAGGCTCTTCTTGTCACCTTAAAACTACTTGGATTTGAGGGTCAGGAGCAGGCACTGACAAAATCAGGGGTTTTAAGGGCTGGAGCTGTGTCAGGGGTGTTCAGGCTGGATATTACAGAAAGGTTCTTCCCCCAGAGGGTGGTTGGGCATTGACCACACTCCCCAGGGCAGTGGGCACAGCCCCAAGGCTGCCAGAGCTCAGGGACAGGGTTTATTAGAGAATTTGTGCTTGTTCCCTTCCTCCCCTTTCCCCAGGTGTGCTCTCCCCTCAGCAGCCTGTTGGTGGTTTGCTGAGTTGGTGTGACCTCCCTGTGCTTCTGCAGCAGGTTCTGATCCTCAGAGAAGCACTTCTGGAAATGGGTGAAGCATCTTCCTTTGGGAAG